TTTTTTTTTTTTTTTTTTACTTAATGTGCAGTTTGCAGTTGTAGTTATCTGTCTGAAGCTTATTAACCCATTCTTTAGTTTTAAAACTTCTTGGTTTTCAACCCAGAAATAAGAACCAAAGGGAACTAAATTCCACCAAATCAAACCGACCCCTCCCCCCAATACAACCTTCCTTTACTTTTAAGCAAGAAATGATAAAATCCAAAAACATGTTAAATATTTTTCCTTCTTTTACTCTGAAGTGTTATTGAAGTTGCAAAATTAGCCTCAGTTAGACTGAGTAAGGAAAAAACAAGCTCAACAAAAGGCTGTATGCATCTAAACTGCTCCTCAATTCCGTTTGATTGAGTTTGCCAAAAACCCCTTTAAAAAGGGCTTTACAGACCCATTAAATTTAATGTGAGGCTGTGTTTGTTAGTTGGGAGGTAAAAAATTTTAAGTCCTGCAGCAAACGTTAATGAGGGCTTTGTCTTAACTAACCAAGGAGACTGCAGCAATGGACTCCAGACCAGGACAGAACACATTTTTTTTTTCCCCAAAACCCAGCCCAGGAGCTGCATTTTGTATGAAGACATTACAGATTAATAAATGATAGCACCATGGTTTTAGAAATTAAGTTAATGTTTCAGTAATTAACATTTAGTCCAACTTTTTTTTTTTTTAAAACATTCTAGTCACAGGCCAGAAATTAAGTTTAAGAACCCAAATTATTTTTATGTGCAAGTAAGAAAATCTTAAAATCTTAACCATAAAAAGATAATTAAATTCTGCATAAAATTCTAAAATACTATTCCCCTATTTTTTTTTTTTTTAAAGGAATTAGGAACAGAACAACAAAGAAAACCACCCCATTTCATTTGACTTAGTCAAACAGGGCACATTGTTCCTGCTTTGTCTGTTTGCATCTTGATCATATCAAGATCTTTATGGAGAAAACCCAATGGTTGTCACTCGAGAAATCTCTTGACCACAAGACTGAGTATTGTATGGCAGAGGCATAGACACGTTAAAGACATCTTAATAAAGATGCAAAGGGAAGCAAAAGAACCCAACACACATCTCGGAAGAAGACAAAACGGCAGGCAACTGGTCATCTGACCCTCTGAAGGTAGAAAATAAACATATCTTTACACGAAAGAATAAGTCAAGTGAAAGAAAGAGGGGATGGAATGGGGGCCGTCGTGTCAGAGAGACGCTGACCTGCTCGAATTCAAAGTGCTAGAATTAAAGGTCTAACGAAAAGCCGACGATGCCTCCGGGCGGACCGCCCCGCGCTCAGTCCTCCTTGCGCTCCAGAGTCTGTGCCGCGTGGATGCCGTTGCTGTAGACGGGGAAGGGCAGCGTGGAGAAGAGTCCCTCGGCCGTGGTGAACACGTTGCCGGCGGGCATCTGCGTCAGGCTGGCCGCGCTCACGGCGCCGCCGAATGGTCCCGACATGTTGAGCCGGTGCACGTGGTGGTAGAGCATCTCCATGGGCGTCTTGGGGTCGAGGCCGAAGCCGGGGCTGTTAACGTCCACGAAGTTAACAGCGTGCGCGTTGGGCAGCAGGTTGCCCTGCATGGCCAGGGTCACCTCGGCGGGCGCGTAGCGGATGGTGCCCGTGGTGTAGACCCTCTGCGCGGCCGTGCTGGTGGCGGCCAGGGTCCCGGTCACCCTGTGCACCAGCGGGAGCACGACGTTGCCCGCCTGCAACCGTTGCAGCGCCTCCAGGTCCCCAGTGTACAGCAAGGAGTTGGACGCGCTGGGGCCTCCGCCTCCCCCGCCGCCACCCCCGGGGTGCTTGTCCCGCGGGGACGCAGAGAGCGGGGGCGACAGCGGGTCAGAGGCGACGGGGGCCAAGGCTGAGGCGGCTGAGCCGCTGAACTGAGTCTTGCGGGCGGCCGCGCCGTCGGCGCCCGGTGGGGTGAGGACCGAGTCAGGGATGGCCACGTGCAGCCCCCCGCCTCCCCCGCCGCTACCGCCGCCGCTGCCGCCCTGCGGGGACGGGAAGTGCTCGGAGCTGGGGGGCTTGGTCATGCTGTAGGGGGACTCGTTCCTGGAGATCTCCCGGTTGGGCGGGTAGTTCCAGATGCTGCTGTCGTTGTCGAAGTTGATGGGTTCCGAGATCTCCGTCTTGATCTTGAGCACCGAGGCACTGTTGGGGGACGACAGCAGCCGCGGGGCCTCCACCAGGCCGGCGTCCAGGCCGCCCGGGCTCGACGCGCTGGACAGGCGCCGGCGGCTGGCGCTGCCGCCCTTCTGCCGTTTCCGCCTCTTCTTGCGCTTCTGGTGCTTGCTGGAGGCCTGAGCGCCCGCCTCGCCGGCGCTGTCTGAGTCCTTGGCGCTGTCGGACGTGAGCGAGTCGCAGTTCTGCAGCCGCAGGTCCGACTCGCTCTCCACGTAGCGCTCCACCTTGATCTGCATCGGGCCCAGCGCGCCGAAGCCGTCCTCGGCTGCCTTGGGGTTCTCGAAGTCCGAGTGCTCGAAACTGTCGTCGCTGTCGCGGCTGTCCGGGTTGCTGGAGCTGTGGCCGTCGTCGTTGCAGTTCATGTCGTTGTCGCACGCGTTGCCCGACTTCTTCCGGTCGGGTTCTGGGTCTTCGCTGTTCTCGGAATGATTCCCCTTCTCGTCGGACTTGGAGTTGTCGTTGTCCTCTGCGTGGGGCCGCGGCCGGAGGCGGGGAGGGGAAAGGGGAGAGAAGACACATCATTAGCAGCGCAGAACCGGCCTCCCAGCTGTGGGGTGGGGGGGTGTCTGGTCGGGTCAGGAGCTTCATCCCCTTCTGATGATCTACAGCCCGGCTTTCTCTCTGCCTCCTACATCAGCTCACACTGCGGGCGGTGGACTAGCAGCATTGGAATCACCAGCACGATTGTTAGCAATGCAGAATCTCAGTCCCCACCCAGGCCTGCTGGGTCAGATTCCTCTTAGAACAAGATGCCTGGTGATTCTCAGGCACACTCAAGTCCTGCAGAGATCCTCACAGGTCAGGTCAGATAGCCAGGGAAGGCCTTAGTGCCACACACAGGGGGATGGCATGCAAGGCGCCTTTGGGAAGGTCTGTACCTTCTGCTGGTGCTTATTCAGTTATTGAGAACCATACTCCCTTGTTCCATCCCTTAAATGATTTTTCTCCGTGGCGCTTACTACCATCCGGTTCTCTGTATGTTTTAATTCTTTATTTTTATTTACTCTGTTTCTTCCCCCCACTAAGAATATCTTAAACTCCACCCATGGGGCTGGGAATTATTGTCTATTTTGTTCATACTTTATAAAAAAAGGGACAGAGACTATTCGAGAAGTTCTGTCTTAGTAAAGGCCTTACTTAATGCAATTCAGTGGATAGGAAACCACGCTCTGTGGTGAGTACTCCTTCCCTCCCCCTGTCTCCCTGAGGCCGGGTGTGGAGTAGAGACAGACATCTGTGTGTGTGTACACCCTGCAGAGCAGGTGCCCCAGCGATGGGGGACACCAAGTCACCTGCCACATTCTGGGGACAAGAGATTTTCCCAGTAACACAATCGCAGAGGATTTAGGGACAAAGCCTGACTAACAGCCTAGACTAGCGCTTGGCGCGAATCATGTAACTTTTGGCCTTTGTTTCTTTTTCTGTAGCAGAAGGGGTTGGGTTAGAAGAGATTTAAGATTTTTTTGCAGCTGTAAAATCCTATTGAGTTCTGCACTCCCTGGCCCTATGTCTGTCTGTCTGTGGAAGGGTGTGGGTTGGAGGAGAAGTAAATGTTTAAATAAACCTCCCTGTGCCCCAGAGAACCACTCAGGACGTCTCCTTCCCAAATAACTAGACGTGGGAAGGCTGGGATTTGTCCTGCATAGATTCAGAAAATAAGTAACAACCCAGCATCCTGAAAAGAGGCCATTTATCCAGGACATTAAGGACTCCACTTTAGAGGCTCAGTCCTAGTCTCGCATTGGCGAGAATATGAAAAGTCACACCAGGTCGGAGCTAGCAGCTCTGGCCCTGTACCTGCATGCAATAAAGAGGCCAGAACTAGCCGAGGGGACAGAGCAGGACTCCTTTTGTATTGTCGGGGTCTGGGGGCTGACCTTATGAGATTGCTAAGTCAATCAACCTCTTTCTGTATATACACATATTTATATGCATGTATAATCCACCCCTTTATAACACGGTATTTATCCACCACGTACCTATATACACTGTGCACATATGTACATACAGGATATGATGTACAAATACGTGTGCGTGCAGAGCCAGGAGAGAGACCCAATAATAACTTGAAGTGACATGTGTCTATATAAAATTTGGCCAGCTGTTTTGCCTCTGCCCATGGCCTGGCAGCTGCCCACCCCCCGGTGTGCGGAATGGCAAGCCGTAACTGCAGAATGGTGAAGCAGTAATACCTGTAATACCTGAGGTGTCTTTAGAGTCTGATTCTGAGTCGGACGTCTCTGAGGATTCGGAGGTTTTCTCGGGCATGTGGGGGAGCTGGGCGATGTCCATTGGCGTGTCCTTGTACTCGGGATTGCTGTGGGAGGGAGGGAGGCACTCATGAGGAGCGCAGACACCCGCTATGCATGGTTTGCATTAGAGCATCTTCTCTCCCACATCCTTGTCCCAAACTCCTGAAGTTTTTAGAAAACTAAACATGAAATCAGAGTCTCAGCTCTTTCTGGGACTTTTCTGGAAGCTCAGCGTTCACATGCCAGGGTGCAGGTGTGCAGTGCTATAATGATTGAATACCCAAATGCTACGGGAAAGCCACTGAAAAGCTTTTAAACCAGCAGGTACCCCCGGGGCCAGGGGACTGTGCTGCTTGACATTCCTTCAGATGACAAGTACTCTCCACAGCGCACCCCCACACCTTCCCACCTTCCCTTGGGCACCTAATGAGTCTGTGGCCTCAATCCCCTTGTCTCGGCCCCGTGATGGAGCTTCTCAGCTGTTCAGACGGCTCCAAAGCTATTGGTGGGGGGCCCTTGGTGCCTGAGGATCTGGCAGAAGCGCAGGTGTGCCTTGGGATGCGTGGATTATGGTTACCAAACTGTCAACACACCCATTACAATCACATTTTCATCTGCTCATGTGGTGTACACCTGTGGCTTGTTAGCTGGAAATCTGATTGCAGTGGGGAGTCCCAGTGTGAAGGAGGCCCCGACAGAATGGAGCTAACCCTGTCTGCACAAATGTGCTTAATTTTTGTTCTATTTTTAACTCAGAAACAAACTTCTTCTAGGAAAGATAGCACGTTGGGTCAGTTTGAGCGAGTTGGCTTCTGGAAATGACACTCCAGGCCAGCGCACTGTGTGAGCAGAATAGCCTGATCTGAAGGCACAAGGAAACTTCCTGCTTCAAAATAGGAGGTGCCCCTGTGTCCTTCCATGGTGGCCAGCCAAGCAGACTTACAATTGATGATCATTTGCTAATCCCTAATGAAATTCCTATAGTAAAGAGTCACTATTGCAGTAACTACTCAAATGTCCCTGGGAGGGGTAATTCACTAAGATGGATTATTGGGCATTTACTCCTCAGTGTGAATTAGCTTCAGCAGGAAAGCTTTCTTTAGATAATCAGATGAGACTAATGGCAGGAAGGTAGACTTGGCACTCCTGAAAACTCTCGGAGTCTCTAATTTTATGATGCATTGTGTGGGAATGGCAGACTCCTGCAATGGAAGACTTTGGAGGAACAGTAATTTCTGAACAGGGAAGGACAGGCCAGGATCGGGGCCCAGATATGAGGGATTCTGGGAAGGAAATAGCACAAGAATGTTGCTCAGAGAAGAACAAAAGACGATGTGGGGAAGAAAACCAAACTTCGGTAGTTGCTATTTTGCCAAGGCCACGTTATTTTCTTAGATGTTGGTAGAGTTTCTTCTGCTACAGGCCATCTATAATAGTCGTCCTTGGCCCAGATGCCATGGGGATTCATAGATCTCCTGTTCTCCAACTTATAGTCTTTAATCATTGACCTCAGGGTGGGTCTTTAGGTCAGCTGACCAGATCTCCTACACCTAAGATGGAAGGCTCTTGAATCTGAATACTGGTCTTTGATGCCCCAATGGCTTCCTTCCTGTCCATATGGACATTGATGGAATAGAATTACCAAAGTTCATGAGACTGTACTATTTATCCTAGGCTAGATCAATGATGTCCATCCATAATTGCACAGATTGCCTTCTCCTTAGGAGAGGCGGAATTCAAGAGCAGAGGAGGAATTCAAGAGGCTGAGAAAGGTGTAAGAAAGAGCCAGAAAGAAAGAAATTTCCCTGAATGGGAGTAAAACCCACATAGATGACTTCAACACTCTGTTACATCAGCATGGGAAACAGATGCCTGTGGTGTCCCTACCAACATTGTTTAAACTCTTAATAGCAATGGGTCTCCTCGACACACCCTCATTTCTGCCTAGCAAGAGAATGTCAGCGCCACAGTACCTCATTCTATTTCCTGTTTTTATAACTTCTGCATCACATGTAGTCACTGTTCCACAAAACTTTATGTCCAAGGATTCTTTGATAGTAGAATCCATCTTGGGCATGTCACAAACACAGGAGATAGTTTGCATGAAAACTGGGCCTTGGAAGAAGCCACATTAAATACACATCCTTTTTACCTTTAGACAGAATTAATGTAGAGCAGAAGAGGTCAAAAAAGGAAACAAAGTAGATAAATGAAGACTCTTTTAAGTGGTGCACATTAAGGCCCTCTCTAGAGCAATAATCATTAGCATCTGATTGATATGCTGTTGGTAGCAAGCACATTCATGCCTTCAAGTCATCACCAAAGTATGTGAACACTCTCTGAAGGGCCAATGTGTTGATGAACTGGGTTGTTAGCTTCTTGGCTCCATTTTGCTGTCTCAAAGAAAAATGGGACTTAGGTACTCCCTGTCTAAATTATCAGCCAAAGTGCACCAACTTCCATTCATAAGACCTATCAGAAGTTTTGCTATTCAAACCACGTGTGGGCTTAGCTTGGTGGCTTTAGGCCATGAGATGTAGTGGTGGGAGACAGGCTAAGTACTGTGAGAGCTTCATGACAGGGTTGGTGGAGAACCTCCCCGAAGGCTTGTCCCCAGACTCACACCACCTGGTCTGTTGATATTGGTTATTTTTCTGCTAGTTGGAATCCAAAGGCAAAAAAATAGATAAGGAAAGAGAGAGATGGTGTCTCACTCATATTTAGGAAGCAGCTGAGCTTGGACTCACTGTGAAAATAAATTTGAGGACACATTTTTTTTTTTTTTTGAGACAGAGTCTCACTCTGAGTGCTGTGGCATCATAGTTCACAACAACCTCCAACTCTTGGGTTTAAGCAATTCTCTTGCCTCAGCCTTCCAAGTAGCTATAACTATAGGTGTCCATCACATGCGGGCTATTTTTTGCTGCAGTTGGCACTGCTGTTTTAGCTGACCGGGGCCAGGTTCGAACCCTCTACCCTCAGTATATGGCAGCTGCGCCCTACCCACTGAGCCACAGGTGCTGCCCTGAGAACACATTTTGAGAACTAGCAGAAACACTCGCCTGAGTTTGTAGAGCAGTAGGCAAAAGAAGACTGCCTTCATATCATACTCTATGGTACTGTCTTGATTTTGGCAAAGCAGCTCACTTTGTTTACCAAAACCAAAACGCCAAGGGAATTAAAGCCTATGTCATATGCTGAGGGTATCAATGGGAAGAAATATAAGAGGAATGTAATGTATCCTGTTAATTTCCCCCCATTCCCCTTTGTTTTATTTTCATAAGAATTGGGGTGTGTGAGTGCATGTGTGCTTTGGGGCATGTCAGCTGTAGGCTAAAGTCTGTATTCCTTTTCCAGCCTGAGAATTTGTGGGGAAACCAAATCCGTTTCTACAAACCTGCTCAAATGTTGACACATCAAGAATTATTGAAATTTTTGCAAATCTTCCCCCCAAGTCCCTCCTAACAGTTTGATCTTCTCATAGTTCTTTGAATCTTGTTGGAAATAAGAACAGAATTTCCATGAAGTTCCACAATAGATACTGTCAAAAGATAATACTTACACCATGTCATCTATTAACCATAGGGTTGCATATTTCATAACAGAGACAGAAATAAAAAAGAATGAGAGACTATACCTAAGGAGATAATTCACCCAGATGATATTCTTTTCATTTGCATTCTTGGCGTTAATAGCTATGGTGGCGCTAGACTGTATCCAAATATACCCTCCATTCTTCTGCATCCAGCGATAGTACTTCGTCACACACTGACCCTTATTCAGCACTGGGGAGAAAACAAAACAGAAGGCATTGTATTAAGACTGGGATCAAAAGATTTTCACCTCTGCAAACTTCAAGCCTAGGAATGGGAGGTCCCGCACCGAGCTGGGGTGGGCCTCTGAGTGCTTAATGTAGAGAAGGCCATTAGTAGGACAAATGAAACCAACAATTCAGTGGAGCGGCAGCCCACTGCCAGGGTTATTGGCATTTGTAGCAAGACTTTATTCCGTTTTGGGCAGCCGTGGTGTGAAAGGAAGAATAAAAAGACTACAAATCTTTTTGGCTCACAGAACACCTAATGCAGTGTGGATATTGTCAATGGGTTTGACGTCAGATGGCAAATTTGTATGTGATTTATTCATAGCTTGAAGGTAGACTTCTTTGAGATTCTGGATATTTGAATGTTTCCAAATATGCTTTACCCCTCTGTCTTTGATCCTTTTTCTTCAGTCTGTGCAACATCAACCAGAGTCCTTATACATGCGTTCCTTTTGATCTTGTCTAACAGAATTTATAATCCCCTAGTGAACTAAATTTACATTGGTCAGTTGGTGGAGATTCTGGTGAGACTGCTGAATGCTGGCACAAAATAAATTCCCCAGTCGAGTCAGAGAAAAACACTGGCCTAAGGGAGGTATGGAATTGACTTGGCTCGAGCCAAACAGAGTGACAGCTCCACGCAGACTCTGAAATATGGCCCAAAATGAAGGAACAAGTAAAAACAATCAGTAATGTGAAACGGTGCCATTAAATACCTACTGAAAGAGAGCTTTAAAATGCAGATGTTAAAAATGATACTTTAACCAAAATCTTGCCAAGTTGAAATTGACTTGATTTGTATCTGGGTACTCCTGAGCTAGTAAAAGGGGAAAGTGCAGTAAATCAGCCCCTGAAATAAAGTGCTATGGATGGGAATGGTTTAAAAGGATGCCGGAAATGTGCAAACCCCGCTGTTATTACTGGGCTATGGATCGCAGCAACTCGGCGCCCCCCAGCAGCGCACCGGCGCGCTGACCACTAGAGGGCAGTGTGCACTCGTCTACGGCGCCCACTTTTGGCATGTCCTTGTCTCCGTCTGCTAAAATGAAAAACCTCTAACTGCTGTAATAAATTTGGCTAAATTAGCTGCTAAATGGTTATCTCAAGTAATATGTATTTGCATTAATCATCTTGCTCTAAACCAGAACAAGCCAGAGTCCTAAAGACGTAGTAAATTCATATTGTCCATTTAATTACGGCTAATAAGTGCTTCATATACAATAGTTTCATGAAGTACATTTTGATTTTTTTTGAGGGTGGGAGCGGATGGGTACAGAGAAGTCACTTTGGGAAAGAGCCGCATATAAGGCTATGGAGGCTCTCCAAGCGAGAATCTTGATGAGGGTCTTCTGCACCACTCTTCCTGGCTCTGAGAGTGTTCAGAGTCACCCCTCCACCTCCTGTACCCATAAACATACAGACTTGGAAGCTTTTCTCTCATTGCCCCCTTTTTTCTCGCAGTACGCTAACTGGAAGGTTGCAAAATTTAGTGATCATGTCTTCACTGTTGCTTGAAAGAGCCTTGCTTTGATGAGTGTTTCAAACGGTGGCGAGTTCCATTCTTAAACTATTCAGCAGAGCAGGGCACTTCTAAGGCCCGGAACTGTCGTCTTCTCCTGGTGGCGAGGCTCCACAGGTGGCATTGTACTGTCCTTTTGTAGGCAATTGTAAGTTCTGCCATCCTGCACGCATGGCTTCCCAGGCTACAAAACTGCGTGGCGAGGCTGGAAGCAGTAAAATACTGACTCTGCCACACAGCTCTTCTGTCAAACCGTTGTTGCGTGCAGCGAGATGTGCTTTTATTCAGATCCTCTCAACCTGGTTAACTATTTATTAGTGGAGAGATGCTAGGTTATGTAATTCTGTCCACTATTTTCACAGAGGAAACTTTGTAGCACTCTAATCAGTGGTTGATGGTGTAATTCTATTTGCTTTGTATCTAGAATAAAGAGTAATTCCAACTGGGTCTCATATTTCTAACAATGGCGAGGAAATGAACAAGTCTCTTTTTATAATGGTGTGAAGAAAACATGGAAATGAGAGGCCAGATCAGTCCAGGCTGGCTGGGGATTCTGGTTTGGAATCTGATCCCAAAGCAGGCAAAATTAAAAAAAATATATATCCCTGGTATACAAACTATAGAAGGAGGCTAAGGGATAATGGAATTAGAAAATCAAATTATAGTTTGCAGAGTCAATATAAAGATCACCTCAGCCCCTTTCTCTTACTTAGAAACAGACAAAATCCCAATTCTGAAATGGATATCTGGCAAAACATGTGCGTCCCTCTGGTCTCCAGGTGTGTGCTGAAAGGCATCTTTGCTAAGGGACTCATATGGGGTCCTCTTTTTTTTTATTTTTTAGAGACAGAATCTCACTTTGTCGCCCTTGGTAGAATGCCGTGGCATCACACTGCTCACAGCAACCTCCAACTCTTGGGCTTAGGCGATTCTCTTGCCTCAGCCTCCCGAGAAGCTGGGACTACAGGTGCCTGCCACAACGCCTGGCTATTTTTTGGTTTGTATGGGGCTGGGTTTGAACTCGCAACCCTGGGCATATGAGGCTACCCACTGAGCGACAGGCGCCGCCTATGGGTTCTCTTTTTGAGTTAAGGCTAGGTCTGTTAACCCTGGGTCTGTTTAGATGCATCTGTGTCTTCTGAGAAGATAAATATAGTACTAATTTATTAGGGCCCTTGAATACAATAATACAGCTCTTTTTATCACCCAGGCCAGGTACCATATAGCAAAGAGAGGAGACCCAAATGTACAAGGGGCAGGGCAGGTGAGTTTTGATGTGAGGACGTAGCTGTGAGGGGGCTGCAGAGGAAGGAAACTGTCCAGGGAATCTTTGCAGCTTGCCCCTAACTTACCAGGGTCAATACTACAGACCAGGTTTGGAAGCCCACAGTGGTTAGCTGAAGAAAACAAGTTTGACCTAACCCGTAGTTTGTCCTGGGTTCAGTCTGACAGAATTCATAAAGGGTAATGTTCCTAGCATGGTCTCAGATCATGCCTCTTGGCTGGGGATTACTGTATTTCTGGATGAAACCCCCATGCGCCAGGGAATGTAGGTAACTAAAGAAAAGGCATGGAGTGAGTCCCTTTAAAGCAGTGGTTCTCAACCTTCCTAATGCTGCGGCCCTTTCATACAGTTCCTGTGGGTTGCGACTCATAGGTTGAGAACCACTGCTCTAAAGGATCAAGTGTTGACCAAAATATTGCCCAAGTTGCTTGGGTTTTAGGAGGCCCCACAAAAAGCATCATAATGGAATTTTGCTTCTTTTGAAACGAATGAGTAATATTTTTTTTCTTGAGCTTTCAGAATATAAATTTATGATTTTAGGATAAAGATTCTTCCTGAGGAAAAAAAAAATCATATTGGCAAATCAGCTGGATCATTCCAGCTGCGCCAGAGGCAGGAGCTGACAGCTTCTCTTGAGCTCATGTGGTCTTAATCAGCTCAAGAAGAAAAGCCACCTTGGTGTCAGGTTGAGAGAGATTTTTAGTGTGTAATAAATTAGACAACTTGAAAAACACACACAAAAAGTTTTTTGATTCTCTTTAATCCGGTGGCTGTTGTTTTTAGTTTTAAGTTTTAGGTTCCCATAGCAGAGAGAAAGGAGAGAATATTTGTGTCAGTTTTTTTCCCATAAAATCCCCTTTTGTGGGGGAAAAACAAAAATAAACACAATGTCAGTTACTTGATGTGGAAGTCCTTAGAAAAATAGTTAATTGTCCCTTGAAGAAAGAGAAAGACGCTTATCAAGATCATGTATGAAACCTATAAAAGGGGGGGCACCTGTGGCTCAAAGGAGTAGGGCACTGGCCCCTCTATGGGTGGGTTCAAACCCGGCCCTAGGCCCCCCCCCCAAAAAAAAAACCCTATAAAAGGAAGGAAGGAGAGAAAGAAGAAATATAGAGGCTGGCAAAAAATGTATACACATTTTAAGGGAAAAAAAAAACTGCAGTAAAATTGTAATACTTAAGTCACATTTGACTTGTGCAATTACAAGAGAGTCAAGATACAATATACAGTATAACGCATGTTATCAGTATATATTATTATAATTTTAATAGTTTTTTCCTTTCTTAAAAAGAATGTATATTTTTTGGGCACCCTCTCTCTGTGTCGATTATATTTTTACTGTCACATCTACATGATATGGTCTGAGCAGTTCTAATGTGTATACTGGCATTTTTTTCTTCAATTTATCCCAAAGTTTATTTTCTGCTATCCGATATTTTTGGGTTTTTATTCAAGGATCTCAAATCTTTTACATGGCTGCTTCTTAGATTTTTACAAGGTAAACTTGAAGTAAGTCTTTACAGGTTCCTCTTATAGGCGTCCTCAAACTACGGCCCGCGGGCCACACGCAGCCCACCTAGGACATTTATCCAGCCCGCCCCGTGTTCTTTTTCCACCGCTGCCTGTCCTGCTTAGCAGCCGACTCGTCTTGAGGTGCGCAGTCCAGCCCTCCAATGGTCTGAGGGACAGTGAACTGGCCCCCTGTTTAAAAAGTTTGAGGACTCATGCAGAATCTTGAATGGTCCCAGACATGATGGTAAAGGCCTGTTACCACACAAGAACAGAGGCTTCCTTGTTACTCAGAAGGCTGGGGTATAAACAATTTCTTTGGGGTATTACTGCTCTAAGGAAAACCAAGAAGATGTTGTTAGCACCACCCCATCCTCCAAGACAGAGGTACCCTAGAGTTACAGACTGTGCTTTGCAGAAGACAGGTGACCTCCCACTTGTGGGAAGAATACTACAGAGAGGAACAGAGAGATGTTTAAATCCTTCGGGTTGAACTGTTACAGCCCCATTCATCAGACAATTAGAAAACTATCCTAATGGTTTCCTTTGGCTGTTAGAGTTAAACACCACTCACCCTTCACTGTGAAGGGAGCTGCAAATATAGTGCAATGACAAAAAAAAAAAAAAAAAAAAAATTGCAGAGTGCTTC